TGTTATTAAAGAAGAGCATTTGGCCTAAGCAATGGCTTCCAACCAGGCTGTGCATCAGACTCACCTACAGGGCTTGGCAAAAAAAACCCAGAAAGAAGCTGGACCCTCTATGCAGACTTGTATCAACAGCTCCAGGGGTGGAGCCTGGGCATTTGTATATTTTTTTAAAATATATCTTTACGGATTTCAGAGAGAGGAAGGAAGAGGGACAGAGAGAGATAGAAACATCAATGACGAAAAGAGTCATTGCCCGGCTGCCTCCTGCACACCCCCGACTGGGGACTGAGCCCATAACCCAGGCATGTGCGCTGACCAGGAATCAAACCTGGATCTCCTGGATCATAGGTTGATGCTCAACAGCTGAGCCACGCCAGCCGGGCTGGGCATTCCAGTTTGTGAACCACTGCTCTTCTATCTTATTGTGTATACTCTGATCATATTATAGGCTGCCATATGATTTACCTTTGTCAGAGCTGCCTTTGTAAATACAGCCTGATATTCACCATCATCAGGAATCATTATCAGCTCAAGACAGTCTTACCTGTTACTATTATAGTTGTTTTCTATGTGGAACGTTGGACCCTCTGTATCCTCAGGCTCTCAGCTGTTCTGAGCATAAAAGGGATTGTCTCCTTAATTCAGTTTCCCAACACCCTCTTCTCCCCTTTCTAAGGTCAAGTTTTGCCTCCCTGCACCTCCTCCCCTCTTTCTCTTTTAACAGCCAATAGAGAAACTCAGCATATTTAACACAGGCAGTTACCCTCAACTGCCCTGAACTGAGCCAGTCTTTCCTTCTTCCTGAGCCAACAATTCATGAAGCAGATGGTGTGTTCCACATCTCCTTGCAGAGCTATATGGTCCAGGCTGTCAGAAGGCACCTCTCACCCACCCCCTGAACAATGAACTGTAGCTGAAGAATCAAGAAGTAGGCATTTTAGATCCTTCCCCTATATAGAATATACAGACTATATGTAAAAATGCAACTCTGATCCACAACATGTGTCAACCAGCCTAGGAAGCTAATCTACCATCTACTGGAAACAATCTGGGAAGTCTAATTAGTATCTGTAGCCACTAGTCCAGGAAGTCAAACAACAACCCCCATAGCAACCGGGCCCAAATGGTCAGGACTTGATTAATAACTAACAGCTTCCCTAATTTTTGCCCCTGCTTCCAACTTAGGGCCAACTGGAGAAAGCCAAATATGCACCCCTAAACAAACACAGAGAATGCCCCACTTCTAGCTAGCCCAGCTCCAGCTTCCTCATGCCAACAGCCTCTAATCAGGGCATACGTGAAGCCTTCTTTTTTCCACTATAAAGCTTTTCTACTCCTCTGCCTGCCTGGGTGTCTCTGTCAAATGCAAGTGATGGTGGCTGACTTCCTTGCTTTGAATAAACTGCCTTTGCTTGTTCTGTTTCAGGTGGTCTTTGTTTATTTCCACAATTAGGAAAATGGGGCTGTAGGTTTGAAATGGCTCACTGAACTGTTCTTTCAAGGCAGAAATAGCCGTACCTTAGGAAGGCTATAAGATGTAGCAGGAAGAGCACAGTAGTACTTGTGACTCTGAGGACGGCACGGTTGGGAAGTGGGAAGTATAGAGTGGCTGTAGGTAAGGGCACAGGCCCTAGATCCAGACTGCCATGGTTCAAGTTCTGGCTCTGCCACTTCTAGCTGTGTCAATTTGTTGTTACTTAACTAATTTGTACCACAGTTTCCTCACCTGTTAAAATGTTGGTGATGATAACAGCACCTGCCTCATAGGGCTATTGGAAGGATTATAAGACAATCCTAAATATGAATATCTGGATTTCAATGGAGAGAGAGGAGAGAAGGAAGGAAAGAAAGAGAATCCAGCAACACAGGGCTGAAATTCTTGAAAAGCAGCAGTGGCCTGGGGCTGATTACTAACTGCCTCTTTTATTTATTTTTTTAAAATATATCTTTATTGGTTTCAGAGNTGAAAAGCAGCAGTGGCCTGGGGCTGATTACTGCCTCTTTTATTTATTTTTTTAAAATATATCTTTATTGGTTTCAGAGAGAGGAAGAGAGAAGGAGAGAGAGAAACATCAGTGATGAGAGAGTCATTGATGGGCTGCCTCCTGCACGCCCCTGGCTGGGGATCCAGCCCGCAACCCGGGCATGTGCCCTGACCAGGAATCGAGCCCCGATCACCTGGATGCTAGGTCGACGCTCAACTGCTGAGCCACACCCAGCCTTTTAAATGAGACATATATTCTTCCATTTTCAAAGTCTCCACCAACCAGCTTCAACCATTGCTTCTCTCATTTATAATACCTACCTGGCCTCATTTGCGACTTGTGGGTTGGGCTAAAAACATTTTTCTCCTCTCACAAAGTTAGTAACCTCAGGAAACCATTGGGTGCAAAAACTGCCAATGCCATTATCCATTCCAAAAAGATGTGGTGGGGGAGGGATCTTATCCCTCAAATGTATCTTGGAAATTTCTATGCTTTCCAGAAATCAAAGACTCAGGTATCGCCCTAGCCGGTGTAGCTCAGTTAGTTGGAGTGTTGTCCTGTGCACTGAAGAGTTGCCAGTTTGATTCCTGGGTTTTGGGCTCGATTCCCAGTGGGATGGGTGCAGGAGGCAGCCGACTGATGTTTCGCTTTTACATTGATGTTTCTCTCCCTCTCTAAAAGTTAATAATTTTTTTTTTTTTTAAAGACTCAGGTATCCTTTTCTGAGATGTTTACTTAAGGGTCATAATTTAAAAATTACAGAGCTTGTAATATATAAACATTTTTTATATAACTAGAAACCCAATGCCACATTCCAGAAAGTGTGACCATATTCACGAGCTACAATGAAAACTTTTCCCCTCATAGGCCTCCTGCTATTCTTGGTAAGAAAAACAGACAATTCAGAGAATTAAGGCTAAGTTGGTTTGACATAATTGTCTTTATTTTCAACTAAAATTAAACGTGGCATCGCAGAGTATCAAATCTAACCAAAAACGCCTGTGTTTAACAAAGATTTTTGTCTGAATCATTTCTGGCGAGCACACTCAACACTTCCAATAGGCAGTTGCTTAACCTTCCAATTATTGCATAAAATGGAGTTTTGAAGCCAACTTTCTAGATCAAAATCAAAAGCCATTCTCTAGCATAAAGCTTCATTCCATCGAATTGGGCGAACAAAATAGTTAAGAAAACGGAGAACCGTGTTCATTACAAACAGTCTTTCACTGTAGCGTGTCACCTGAAGTTTAAGTAAGGTGTTCATCTGAGAGTGCACTGAAGACACCAATCTAGGGTAACTTAGCAATGACGAGAAGACATCACGTAGGCTTCCCGGCTTACAATACTCTGAACCCCGTAAGGCAGGAGCGGTTCATAAACATTAGACGGTTTCACGCGAGGAGCTGTTTCCCCCAGCCTCCGCTGGCCCGAGGTCTCTTTCCAAGACAAAGGGCAGCTCCCGGGAGGGTCTCGGGGAGTGTGGGTCCCTCCAAGCCCGGGAAAGGGCCGCTCCCCGGGGAACGCGGGGCGCGCTTTCCCGCCGACCCGACGGCGCGCTCTGCCCC